CGTAAGAAAAAATAAACAAGAATCATTATATACAATTTATAAAATATCCAAATGAAACTGCTGCAATTTGTCATTCATGCATTCCATAATCAGCACACATTCTGCATGAATCTATGAAGCTCATCGATTTGAATTTCATGTGAATAAAAGAATGAAAATATGAAAATGAAATATAAGCAAAATATTCGTAATACCTGCTCCACTGAGTGGTATTATGTCCTATCTCATTTTCATCATTATTTTCCAAAATGAAATGGAAATAGCAAGAAATTCTGCAATAAATATTTATGACACCTGAAAAATTAAAATAAGAAATCAAGAGATCTGATCAGCTATATCTAACTGCTCGAAATAAACACCAACAATTGCAATAAATAGTGAGAATTCTTGATGCAGTGTGCTACCAGTTTGCGTTTCTTCATCTAATGTATTTCGCAAAACACGTGAATGTTTAGCCAGTTGACGTATCGCTGAACATACATTGTGCGTTAACGGCTTTTGCAGTACCAACATTAGCGCGTATATCCATTCAAATAGCGGTCTTGTATAGCCCTCCTCAAGAAAAACCTGAAAATGAAAAAACTGTTTAGAGGGTGCTTATTATCAATTACAGTGCAGTGAAACGTTCAGTTACTGCAATATTTTCAGCAGCAATTACTTCACTCAGCATAAACAGTGACACTGCTTTGAACTATGAATAACATATTACAACATGAAATCATATTTATTAGCTCACGCTATTTTTACCTGGCAACTGTTAACGAAAATGTGACAAGTGGGAAATAATGAAAGAATTTTCTCAAGACAAAATAAAACTTATCACTAGATTTCCTCCTGAACCACAAGGCTATATTTAAAAATAACTCATAAAGCGTTGAAAGGCCTAGGTATTTCAAGCATCATCAAACTACGGCATTGATTTAAATTAAAGAATGTTTCCAAACACTTATTCCTGAGTTTCGGAATATGTTTAAAGTAATCTAAAACATTATTTCAGTGCTGAATAAACTCTTATAAAATATATGCTACAACTTTCGTAATAAAGTTTAGCATTTATAAACATAGGTTGGAAATATTAAATAATAAATAGGAGAAAACATTTTCTGAAATACCCCAAACTTTTAAAACTTAGTTAACCACAATAAATGAAAGATAATCCATCTGAGACTAAATTGTTGCTTTATTTTTGACACTTTCTTCTGCATTTCTGCTCAGAAAGTTACGAAGTGATCAACTTTTGAGCTCAACTTTTTAGTTTAATAAGAAATTTGATTGAAATTCTTACATCTATAAGATATTGAATCACAATATTGACTTGTTGTTCTGACATACTGAACACGAGTTGTAACGTTGGCGGATTACCACGATGATGTGCAAACCTTGGAACATCTTTTGTTTTCATTGGAAATGAGTTAGTTCGTTCCTCTAAACAGAATACACGCCATTCGTCGGGGTCTTTCTAAAACATGTAGAAAGTGTTATTAAACTGAAACTGAATCAAAAGCAATAAAACAAGACGACGATAGATTTACATATTTGATACTTTCTCTGTTGAGCGTTACATCTATCATTAGTTATACCGAAGAACAAAAAATAAAGACTCTTAGAAGGAAAATACAACAACCTATTGTGATCTGAAATGAAACTTGACATCTCAAACTGTTTAATTTTCAATACACGATGGCTGAGTAGTAATAATCAAGTGAATAAGCACCATAAAAACAAGATTCATCCACTTATTTTAACAAATTTTTAAATAAAACTTTTGAATGAAACAAGCATGACAAATTTGTGGCGTATTGAGAAAAAAACTTTAGCAAGAATTAATTACTAAGCTTGGCCATTTATAAGTTAGCAAGAATTACTTACTAAGCTTGGCCATTTATAAGCTATAGCTTTCTTCCAGCGCCATTTTTGAGCATCAACAAGAGATCGTTGCATTGAAAATTTATCACTCTGGAACGTAACAGTTGATTAAAATAGCAATATTAGTTAATATTGCAAAAGACATCAAGTAAATTCAGATTTAGGGAATGTTAAACGTAGGGAAAACATATGTATCGAAAGAGCTGGAATAGTTAAATGCTGCAAGACTACAGGAAAACCTCCACGACCGGGAAAGCACGTAGCAGAGTCCGATCTTCTTTCAAATAAAATTTCCTTACTGAAAATATATGATTCAGGAACAAAAAAAAAAAAAATAGCCGGATTTACCAGGGTAACAGACCACTCAGAAGGCGGTTCACAGCTGAACAATAAATCTTCGGATATTGCAGAAGAGGCAATTTTTGGGGGGAATCGTCTTTGCTGCAACCACTTCTGAACAACGTGCACGCGATACACTAACCTGCATGAGAAATGCAACAAATTTTTCAAACTCGATTTATGCTTTTTTACAACTTATTAAAATCTTCGCCAGAATATTACATGACGTGCCCGAATCCCTTTACGCTATAAAATTTCCGAAATTTCTTCCATTATTTCAGAATACAAAAAAAAAAAAAAAAATACAATTTCCTACTATTATTTCAGTCGTGTTCTACTCGAGCTAACTGCACAATTAACATTATCAAAGTACTGCTTCCTGATATATATTTTCTAACTAGCAGCAATGCAAGAAATTAACATACTATGCGTATTCCAAGAAAACCTCATTAACAATAGAAATAATGGAAGAAACAGAATAACAAGTTCCCAGATCGATTAGAATAGTTCCCTTATATCTGAAAAAACCTGTTAAATTAGTAACCTGCTGCAAGTAATGCGAAGGATCTCGAGGTGTCTCAGTAAGCGAGACGTCTCGCTCATCGAAATCGCCAACATCAAAAACCGCTTCTTGCTCCATTCCCCAACAGCTTATTTTAATCAACAATCTAAAAAGGCATTTTTGATGATGAAGCTAACTTAATCAACTGCAGAACTGATAATGACAAACTAAAGAGGAGGAACCTCATTATGATGGAAATAATGAGAGAAGCAGAAAATAATAAATAAAAAATCTGAAGGAATATCAGCATAAGCGCTGAACCGATTTTTCGCTTAAAGATCAGTCGGCTTTCCAATAACAAAAAGAAGCTACTACGGTAGAAAGACGATGCAGAAACCAGTTCTTCTAACTGGTAGAAAACTAATAGTCCATTTAGTGGACGTTCTATCTTATGAAAAAGCATGCCACTGGTCATCTCACCTATTTAATTATCCTTGTAAACAATTCAGTGTAAAGTTAGAGGAAGCAATTTAACAGAAACAGAGAGAAATTTCGTAGAGAAAGGGATGTCTGTAAAAAAGAATTCAAATTCCAAACAAAGAAAATCAACATTCCCGCAGATAGTTCAACTGCCAGTGGAAGGTACAAGATTGTTTCTCATTTCTGGGATTCACTTATTTTTTTATTTGTATCCAAAGTAACTTGAAAATCAGAATGCAGCACGAATCCGTATATTATGGAGATTAAAAAAAAATACAAGAATTTAAGGAACATAGAAACATTCAACAGCGAAATTTTCATCCCTGTAAACAAAACATAGTGATTCTTCAGTTTCTTCACAAAGTCAAATGGTTGAATGAAAAGAGAAAATAGAAAGAAGCTACAGCAGTTTACAGAAGATTGCTGAGATTTACTTAAAAATGCAAAAGTACAAGACAGGTACTTTATGGAAAATCACATGTGGTTACGAAAAAATTCACTTTTTTCGCCCGGAAACAGTTTAGCAAGTGTGATTACTTTTTACACAAATAATTTTAGTAGAAATCAAAGACTGTATTACAGTCAGCGAAAAATCTATTTCATTTGAACTAAATATTTCATCATACTTCCAGAAGTAGTTATAAAGTTAAAAGTACTCCTAACAAAAACCAAACCTGACAACTTCCAAAAATGATTTCAGGTAAAAAGACTAAACAAAAAACAGCTTGCACAACAGGCGAACATAAAAAAATGCATTCCTGTCCTATACTACATTCCTAAAAAATCCACGAGTGGAAACATCAGCGGCATAAAAAAGAAAACATGAGAAATTATTACAAAATTTAACCACTGGAAACTTTGCAAAATATAAATGCAAAAGAAGTGGTCTCAGTTCATCCATTTTTGGCAATTCGGTGCACCGCATAAACAAGGAATCTTATCAGCCGCATCTTCGATATCAAACTGATAATCATACGTTAACTGAAAAGAAAAGAAAAATCATTTCCGCTAAATATTTTATTGAATTCGATAAGGTGAATCACTTAGTTGGGTAACCAATACCAAGCTAAGCTACATCAAAAAATAGTGAATGTCTTTTATTAAAACACAGTAAAAGAAATTATTTTTTCCACTTTCAATAAAATCCATTTGTTTCAGAAGTGGTGTGGAGAAACCAACACTGCAATAAAGTGTGAAATTTCGAAAAGTTTAGAGGTATTTGGATCCTACCTCTTCTCCAGCACTTATGGGTCTGTTAGCGATAATGATAATTTTTTTGTCATCACCACATGGACCCGAATCCACCAAACGTGTACTGCAGTTCGGATCGCACGAATGATTGATGTATCGTGCTGGTCCACCAGCCATTGTCGCATCAATAAGTTTTTCGTCATCAATACGAAACATGTACACGCCACGATTTTGAGCTTCATATTTTTTTTCACGCATTTCGCCAACCTTCAAGTACCACATGATTAGTCCTCCATGTAACATATGCATCTCTGCTACGAAAAGCGATGCACACTCATGGAATAGCAGATAACGACAAGGACATTAGAGAAAAGTGATAAACTAACAAAAGAAATGGATAACGTCAATTCAAAAAAACTTTTCTCGATAGCTTTTTGACATCAAATAACACCCCATCTACAAAATTAACTTCTAAAAACTAACTTCACTACGTATAACTTCGCCTTTATATTCAATAATCATAGAATTCATTTCAATATCTCGTGATGCATATAATCCTAATCCTTGAATACGTGAACGAGCCAGATACACAGTATTTTTCCACTCTTTCTTCATTTTCTGATACTGTGAATAATAAGCTGTACTCAGTTGTCCAGGTTCCCATCGTCCGCCGTAACAATCTAATGTTGTAGTGCATGAAACGCGCCCTGTAGATAGATCCGCGCTAGACAATGAACTGCTAGTACCACGTGCTGGAATTTAGAAAAATTCAGATCAAAAATTTATATGTAACTTAATAAGCAGAAGATGTCCACAATTTGAACAGTTTCTTTTTGTTTCTTTGGTTTTGCATTCTCGAGAATTTGTAAAATTGGAAATCCATGTCGAAAAATAACAAACTTCTTGTATCACGTGAAAGTACATCAGTACTAACGGACGACCGAGCAGTTGCTGCTGGTGGTTGATTACGGCGACGATGTTTGATAAGTGTTCGAAACCGCGGTTCACATCTAGCGCAGCCACTTGGATTGACTGCCAAAGGCAAGTCCATCAGAGGAACTCCACCGTGTTTAAAAGTATAAGTTATTAGCTGGTCCACTCCCGGTAACTGAAATTAGCCAACTCAAAAGACACTTTGATATCCTTTTAATGAGCAATTTTAAAAAGCTTAATAAAACTCATCGTATGCACAAAAGTTTCCCATCCTTACCGACTCCGTCATTTTTGAAACAGCTGCTTCTGTAAGACCAAATAAGCTGTCACCAGTAAGATTCGCTGGGAATAAACGCAATAATCCATCGTTTTTATCTCGCGTTCTTTCTACTTCCATTAATATATGGTTCCAGGCAGCTAAAATATGTCGGCGTGTTTATCTGTAAATCAGAAACCATAAAGAAAAAAAAGACATGATTAACAACAAGGCAGGAATATTCCTTGTTCTTAATCATGGTTTTTTCCCAAAACTCTAAAGATAGACTGTTAGTGAAATCCATACCCGATGCCGAAGTCTCTCGAATTTCTTGGCCATCTTCGTATGAAATTACAAATTCTGGTGCTGAGGATTTATCGCAAATTGTACACTGATATTGAATACGATCAGTTGCAACAGTTGTCGACCAAAAAATTCGTTTCACACTGTATCCAATCTAAAACCACTCATTTGAAAATTTTTTAAGTACCACTTTATACCCCAGCGTAAAACAAAACTACGATCCAGTGAATCTAAGGAACTCAAACTAACCGGAAATATATGATCTGAATTATGGAACGCTTTCAACTGTTCTGGAAGCAGCTGCCCGATGTGGCTAAATATAAGGCTCCCCACTCGTAGAACTAGTCGGTCGGCTTCACTATGAAACAGTTTTGCTATCAACTGATTTTCTTCACGATCAATATAAATACGACGTAATGCTTTTAAATGGTCGAGTACCAAGTCATTCCGATAATCATCATGCTCATCGCAAATGAAAGTCTGAACATAAGAACAAACTATAATACTTCAACATTTCAATCAAATGAGAATATAAATAGATTCAGAAACGAAGAATTCTAAAAAAAAAACACAGTTCCCATTAAAAGATCTCACCTTATCTTTCATGAATTTTCCCCTCGTTGATTTAGCGCAAAAAACATGGAAATGTTTTTCACAGTTAAGTTTGTAACACCTTAGTGAAGCACCAATAAGATGGCAAACTGAACAAACCACGTTTGCTGCCCGTCTCAATGCATCTTCCACATTTATAAGCGCTCCAGCAGAAGTCTCATAAACCTGCAAAATTCGCACAAGATTTTAAACTTTCCAGTGATGTTTTATTCTGCATACTTGGCTGCATAGGTTTCCATTCAGCGAAACTAACCTCTTCGGACCACAAGGCACAATTAACATGCACCCAAGTGTTTGCATCTGCATTCAGAAGTCTTCCACAATTATCTAAGTCTCCATCTCCACACTGTCCACAAAATGCACACTGCCGTTTGTCTTCTGTAACGTCTATGCAGTGGGAACGTAAAACACTCTGAAGATCGGCAATCAGCTGTTTCTAAAAACATACTTTTTTTGTAACTTCCCAATGTAGCCTTGACTATTTCCCTCCGCAACTGAACCTATTTTTCAAATTTACTTTTTAAATATTCACTGCTGAGATATTAACTAAATATTTTTTCAGTTTGATAAATGATAGCAAAACTTACACCAACATCTTCAGAAAACCTGAACAAGTATTAAAAACAAATATGTTGGTAATGATGAGATATAACTTATCCACCTGACGAGTTTGAATTGATAATTCACGGAAACTTTCTAGAATCGTTGCATCATACTGCATCCACAGCTGTCCTTTCCATTTTTTCTCCGAAACCCTTTGAATGTTCTGATCACCCATTAATGATAGCTCTCGAGCTTGAATTATCTATAATGAATTCAATAAGTACACAGCATATTCCTTCACTTGGAGAATTTCAGTATAAGGTGTTTCTCAATACCATTATCAAAATCAGAATAAAAGTACAGTATCAAAAAATCGAACCTGAATATTATTCCTTGCATCCGACTCAACGCGACCGTCACTTAATGGTGAACATATATTTGAACTTCCAGGGGATTCTAACTGCCCCTTAAAATGCAGAAGGTACGATGCAGAAAGAAGGGTAAAGCAGAATATAAAATTAAAAAAAAAAAAAAAAAACTTTGGGAGATGGCAGATGTACGAACGAGAACATTCAAATAACAGTAAAGAATGGTTAATTTCCAGATGTCTTAAACAAATCAGGAAAATACTATCTAAATCTTTTCATTCGAATAAGATCAAGTGACTCCCACAAAAGTCAAAAACTTTACTTTTCAACTTACTTTCCCGAGATGAAGATATCTGGCAAAATTATCAGCGCTTGCCTGCCGAAGTTTGGCCAGTGTTTCAGCACCAATAAAACGTTCCGCTCTCTGAAATTCAAAACTTCATCAAACCAAAAAAGCATAATAATGAAAAAGAAACATGATTCGAGATCAAGAAGCAAAAACCGAAAGATCCTCTGGTGATAACGCAGCTTTCGCATTAGCCATGTAATTGTAGTAACAATTCATTGAGCAGAACGCTAACGTTTCATCTTTTGGCTGAAATAAACCCAATTTTGATCAAATAGTTCCTAAATATTGATAAAAATATAGTAATTTTTAGGAATCGACAAAGATGAAAAAAGAAAAAAAAAACAATGCAGGAAACCTCATGATCAATAATTCCAAGTTGGCGTGCTGTCTGTCTTACAGCAGGTTGATCAGTCAAGGCACCACAATGACGACATGTAAAGTCATCAGCGACTGGTAA